AAAGAGACAATGCCTTGTCTACCACTTTTCTGGAAATAAGAACACAGTTAGAGAAACTGTGACCCACTGAGTCATGGTTTCAGAGATATTTCTTTGCCAGATTCCCCCAAAGCCTTTCAACAACTGCAGAGCTAACTCTCCCATCTTTCAAACAACCCTGGGGGAAGGTTCCACAGATAGAGTGTGTGTCAGAGACATAGATTAATGCAGTGTTTCTCAACCTGGGTCACTTGAAGATGTCTGGACTTCAATTCCCAGAATTCCCCAGCCAGCATTCGCTGGCTGGGGAATTCTGGGAATTGAAGTCCAGACATCTTCAAGTGGCCCAGGTTGAGAAACACTGCATTAATGTATTTTAATCTTCGGGATTTAACTAGTTAATTCAGGGTGATATTCAGAGATGTACCTGCCTTGAAAGTTGAACTGTCCAGCACAGTTCAAACATCAGGACCTGACCCCAGGAAAGGCTTCGTGACATTTTGTACGACGTCATAAAACGCTTTATGACTTTTATGATATGAAATGTTTTATTATGGAATTTGCCAAGTTTCAGTTTTACGGGAATCATGGGTCCCTGGTATTGGATACGTTCTGCAAGTTAGTTAACCCGTTCGTGGTACCTTGCTGCCCTAGGATGGACTCTTTTGCCCAGTGAAAGATTACAGAGACAAGCGTTATAGTACCACTTATGGCCACAATTCAGTCCGAACTCTGTTGCTGAGTGAGACAGTTGTCGAGTTGTTGCCCCATTTTATGAACTTCCTTGCCCCAAATGTTAAGTGAATCACTGCGTTTGTTAAATTAGTAACACGGCTATAAAAATCCCCATTGATTTTGCTCGTCGGAAGGTCGCCAAAGGGGATCCCATCACCCCAGGACACTGCAACAATCATAAATAAGAGTTGCCAAGCATCTGAATTTAGATCACATGACCATGGGATGCTGCAATGGTCACAAGTGTGGAAAAGAATATGTCACCTTTTTCAGTGCTGTTGGAACTTCTGTCACTAAACAAACTATTATTAAGTCAAGGACTACCTGTATAAGTTCCTAAGAAAAGTAATACAGACCAGAAAGTCTGCTTCCTCAATAAAAAACACTCAAGACCATAATTGTTGTTGTGTTGTTAGTTGCAAAGTCATGTCTGACCCATTGTGAACCCATGGACAATGTTCCTCCAGGCCTTCCTGTTCTCTTCCATCCCCAATTTAAGCTCACACCGACTGCTTTGATGACTCCATCCAGTCACCTCCTTCTCTGTCGTCCTCTTTTTCTCTTGCCCTCAATCTTTCCCAGCATGAGGCTCTTCTCCAGTGAGTCCTTCCTTCTCATTAGGTGGCCAAAGTATTTGAGTTTCCTCTTCAGGATCTGGCCTTCTAAAGAGCAGCCAGGGTGGATCTCCTCTAGGACTGACCGGTTGGATGGCCTTGCAGTCCAAGGGACTCGCAGGAGTCTTCTCCAGTACCAGAGTTCAAAGGCCTCCATTCTTTGGTGCTCAGCCTTTCTTATGGTCCAACCTTCACAGCCATACATTGCAACTGGGAAACCATAATCCCTGAATATGAATTTTGTGATGTCAGATTATCCTCTGGTTTATCACTGTTTTCTGTCCAACCTTTCATGTACCCCCTTTCTACAAAGGATTGGGAACGAAGTCTTGTTCCTACCCTTTATCTTACTTTGCTACTGTAAAGTAAGATAAAAGAATAAGACTTCACTGCTGCCATCTACCGAACACTTTCCTTTTCCAGCTCTTGTATTCTATTTTGCTGTTTTAATGAAACAGTTTACTGTAAAATGATTTTGAAGCATTGGCAGCCTTGACTTGAAGGTGATTGCAATTAACAAGTTAACCGCACACAATATAAAATGACGCTAGAATAACAAAGTGGTTCCTTTGTTAGAGAGTGAGAATTTTCATTTTTGAGTGGAGGTCGAAATCACAGAAGCCTCTCTCTCCCCCCCCTCCCTCCCTCCCTCCCTCTTTCACACACACAGCTTTGTTGATCAGCCCGTTTATGAAATTAGCTACAGGGGGGGAAAAGAAAATAGCTGCTCCTAAACTCTTACTTTGCAAATCTGCTTTCTGCAACTTGATAAGTCACCAAAAACGTAAGGATTGCAACGGATTTATAACCAATGCTGTCCATATCTGTGTTGCTTCAGACCTCTACAAATTACAGCTTAATACACTTGCAGCACACTAGGTTAAGTTAAAGCTTACCCATGCCCAGTCTGTAAAACCCTGCATGATCATCATATGGCACTAAAAGGATATTAGAATCCTTCTTTGCTTCCAAACGGTGGTCCTTTTGGGTTACTGCAGCCCAGATCTAACAGTGGAAGCATTATTGTAGAAAGTTTTTTTTTTTTTAAAGTCAGATCATGTACCAAAGATCAGGTCCAAATCTTGGTGAACTGGACCCAGACAAAGCAACATCACTAAAATCCAGCTTTTTTGTCTTGCGTATGCGAGGGGAAAACTGTCCATTCCTTAAGGGAGGAAGTAACACATTGCAAATTCCAGCAATGCTTTGATGCCACCTTGTGCCAAACCAGAAAAATGATCGTAACTCTCCAAGATGAAAAGAGCTTCCATTATAATGGGTACAATTCTGCAGTGATTCTAACAGCCCCTCATAGTAGGGAGCAACCATGATTTTCTAGTTGAGTGTTTCCCAACCTTGGTCGTGTTCTGACCGAGGCTTCCCAAGAGCATAAAGCAAAGTCCTTGTCCTGTCAAAAATCCATTTTATTAATCTACTGTGAATTCTGCTCGTTCACAGCCAGCAAAGTCTTTCAAGGGAGGATTTACGGTCACATACCTTATCTGGCTTGGCGAGATAAGGGCGATATCTGCAAAACTTGGCAAGGAGCCTCAGAGAGTCATCAACCACTTAAGCAAACTAATGGTCTCCTGCAAACTCCATTCCCCTTTCGCTCCTCTTTTATTTCCTCTGGGAGGGGTCATTCATCATCCACCCCTGTTCTTTAGCTGTTCACTTCGTCTGGCAACTCTGCGCAACTCTGCGTCAGTGCTGGTGAGCTGAGCTGTTTTTTAGCTCAGCTGAGGTGTGGCAATCGGCTCTGCCGTGCAAATCAGCTGAGGACAGGGAACGATGGGGGTGGGAGGGCGAGACCAACCACAGGTGGTATTTGCCGTTTCTCCGAACTACTCAAAATTTCCGCTACCGGTTCGCCTGAACTGGCCTGAGCCTGCTGAATACCCACCTCTGCAGCCCCATGGCATAGAATCTAATCTGAAACAAGCAGCGTTGATATTTATTGATGCACAAAAAGCATTCGATAACCTAAATTGGGATTTTCTTACAAATCAATTAGCAGTCATGAACTTCGGAGAGAAATTTATCGGGTTGACCAGAGCAATATATTCTAACCAGATGGCAAAAAGAATGCTAAATGGAGAATCAACAGGAGGTTTCACCATTACCAAAGGGGTACAACAGGGATGCCCTCTATCCTCTCCATAGAGACGTTGATGTTACAAATTAGACCGAACCGGGAGTTAAAGGGATTGAAAATTAGGACACAGGAATACAAAGTGCTGGCCTTTGAGGACGATCTAGCATGTATTATAGAAGAACTCCTAGAAACTGGACTAACACTAATCTGAATTTGGGCACAAGGGCTAACAAATCCCATTTTGGATGGATGGCAATTCTGACCGTTGCGCCAAGGTCTCCTACATGACAGAGAGCTCCACCTCCCCTGGATGCGTCAAGGAAAAAAAAAAAAAAACCAAGCAAGGCGTTTCTCCAGCCAGAGACAGTAACAGCTTTTAATTAGACAAGAGTCAGCACACCCGTTAAGACAAGCAACTGTTTGCCTCTTTTGGGAAAACTCCTTCACATTACCCACTGGGGGGGAACAATTTTCCTTGAGAAATTAAAACCGTGTGCGCAAGGCCAGAGCTTCACTGTTTATGGTGGATCCGCTTGTTCTTCTCCTGCTGTGACTATTTACATTACAGTACCACATTGTGATCAGCCAGGAGGCCAGGAGGAGCCCGGGGGGGGGGGAGAGGAAGGGGGTTGGAGTTTACAATACGGACAGGTGAGCCCAAGTCAAGAAAGGCAAATCTGATTATTTATAGATCTGTACATTATACAATACATACATATACAGTATATATATATACATATAGATAGATTTGTGTGTTTACACATTGCTCTCTGAAGTATTAAAAATTGATCGGCCTCCGTTCTGTAAAAAAATACCTAACTCTACAAGGTAGAAAAAGGAAAAAAAAATCTTTCTCTTCCCAAGTATACACTGATTTACACACCCAAAGTTTCTTCTGGAAATGTACAGTATGTGGATTCTTCCTGCAGACACTTTTTTTTTCTTTTTGGGGGGGTACAGAGAAATACAGGACATTAGCAAGTGTGTAAGAATGTTTGGGGTTTGAGAATCACTCTCCTCTGCGTTTTTCTGACCATTTCATCTCCCATGTTCAAGCCAGTTGCAAATCATTAATAGCGGAAACTACTGATATATACATATATATACATTCCAGTGTCCTGGTTCAAGGAACTGCAAAGTATTCCAGTGGCCCAACAGTTGGGTCAATGTGGGAACGCAAAGACACGTGACTTTGGCCTGGAACTTGTATTTTCAAACTAGCATCATGTCACTTTCGCCATACATGAAGGAACTCAAGAACTCAACGGCTTGATGATTTCAAAGAAAGGAGAGGAATAGCATGTAACACTCTCGGCACGATGTTCCTGCACTCCAGGAAAATGATCTGCATATGTGGGTCGCACAGACACGAGTCTGGTTAGGCCCCATACATTGTGTGGTCCAAGTTGCACAATTGCTCCATGTGTGTGTGTGTGCTTTAGAGAAGGGGACAGTGGAGGAGATGCAGAGGAGACACGTGTAGAAATGGACAATCTCACCCTCCTTTGGGCTCCTGAAACTTCTAAAATAAAGCATCGGTGAAGCAGGATTTGCTCACAAGAGGTATAAGACGCCCCTTTCAAATTCCAAACAGTGGCATTAAAAAAAAAAAATTAAAGAACCCCCGAGAAGCTCTTTTAAAACACATCTCAAAGGGGCAGATTTAAAACACATTGAAAACCTTTTCTTTCTTTTTTCAGGGGAAATAGCCTGCTTTCTAGATACGGGCAAAATTCATCCGCTTGCCTAAAATTTATGTTGGGGGGGAAAGTTGACTTGTCCCCAATGGCTGGTTTTTCAGCCTCCCATCGATATGCAAATCTACTTCGACCCAAGGAGAAGGCAGAAGAGCAAAAGAGCTTAAAAGGTGCAATTTCTCTTTCAGCGCCTTCCCAAAGGGATGGATGCAAAGCCAAAGCAATGTTCTACTAGAGCTTGAACAGGCCCTTCTAAAGCAAAGTGATGTGTTGGTGCCAAGAGACAAAAACAACTCCCTTCTTCCGGTCCCGTGATGTCCCTTTCCCCCCTCCCCACCTCTCTCCTCCCCTGTTTTCATTATTGAACCGACATATCTGTTGCCATGCTTGCCTTAAAGTGATTTTAACCCATGAAAACACCAAACGAAAAAAGGGTGTGAGATGAATGAAACATGGAAGGAAGCGGCTGCCGCCAAGAGGGATAAAGGATCAGCTCTGCTTCCACATTCAGTATCATCAGCTGAGCTTCCTCCTCCTCCTCCAGCACAGCCATTCGCCAGCTGTCCCCCGGCAACCAAATTCATCAGCCAGGGCTGCCACCCACCCAAATCATCCAGAGGACCATGCCTGGGTTTGACCTTCTTTTCTTTTACATCAGCCCACCTCTCTGCAGAGGGGCTCCAATTCCCCAAAGCACCACAACTCATGAGTTTTAAGGCAGAGGTCCCCCCCAAAAAAAACCAGGGGGGGGCTCCCTACAAAACAGCACAAGGGACAACGAAGCCAGCCGGAGTTCAAGGCAGCCCCGTTTTCCTTTCTACTGGCCGAACAGCTTCAAAAAGGAGGGCGATGGGAGGGCTGAGGATTCAACCAGAGAGGCATGGGAAGGCAGGTGAAAGTCCTCCTTTGACTGCCGTGCTACAGCTTCCAGGTGCCGAGGGATCCAGCACAAGCCAGCTTCTGTTGCTTGTGGACAGGAGAGGTTTCCAAGAAGGCTATTTCAAGGGGCCACCCAGATTCTGCTCCATTCCTGCAAAAGAGGGCAGGTGTGTATGTTCGCCCTGCCCACCCTCGCCCCTTGTTTCTGTGACTCCGATTCTCTTTTTTTTCCAAACTCTTTTTTGCCACCACTAGCCCCACAAGCCAGAGGGTTCCAAAACCCATTAGAATCAGGACAGCCTTACTTAATGGCTGGTCCTCTCTCTTCTTTCTTTCTTTTTCTCTCTCTCTCTTTTCTCCACCCCAAGTTCACTGCCATCTGCCACCCAACCACTCCAACGTGAGGCTTCCTGTGCCTTCTCCATAGAGTGAAGACTTGGCCAGCATTTCCTTCTTCCAAGTAGCAAATCCGCCACACCCACGTGACGCTGGCTTTGTGTTGCTCTCAACTCTTTAAGTCTCCTACTTGACTTCCAGGATGGATGGGTTGGTTTCCATGATGGCCACAATGATTCGGTCGATGTAGTCTTGGAGTCGGAAGTTGATCTCTTCTTGCTTCTGGATTGCCTCCATCAGCTGGAGAGAAAAAGGATCGAGCTTATTTATTTTTTCCAATTTTAAGGTAAAGGTAAAGGTTCCCCTCGCACATATGTGCTAGTCGTTCCCGACTCTAGGGGGCGGTGCTCATCTCCCTTTCAAAGCCGAAGACCCGGCGCTGTCTGAAGACGTCTCCATGGTCATATGGTGGTTTCTATTTTTCTACTTGCATTTTTCACGTGTTTTCAAACTGCTAGGTTG